CACTTGAAAAACGTCAAATTGCAACCTAATTAAACGAGATGGGTACCGAATGCGCCTCAGTTGATTTTGCTAATTATTTTGCATTTGTTTATTATTGATGTTTATGGTAATTCACACTGACTTAAGATTAAAATTATTTTGTAAATATTTATGCTAAGTATTTTTCGGCTAAACTACAAGTAAGAGAATAGTACATAAGCCAAAGATTTCGCTAAATAAGCTACCATCGCTCCCATGATCATACACGCGACCTTGCTTTTGTCAGATATTTTGTTGAGTTTATTCAACAGTCCTGGCTCGGTGAAGGGAATTTTTGTCCAGCTGTCTTAGGGAGATTTATTCATATGTGATAAACTACTTCCTCCACCATACCACTTCATATTTATTAAACGTTATCGTCCATTTTATTAGAGTAATGGAAGAATTTATTATTAGGATTATACATACGATCTTTAGATTATATAGAGAACATCTTTCTCAGGAATTTTTAAAAACAAAACAAACAAGCTAGAGATGTGCAAGAGCTCTTGAAAAAAAATTTTTTTAGGCTAACTTCTCTTCCCGTAACTGGCGGTTGCAATTTTCGCATTTTTTGAGTAACAAATTACAAATTCTCTGAAAATATAGATTAAAACTGTCAAAAATTTCTTTAAAAAATTTGAATCGAACTGTTTTTTCCCCCTTTTATTTCGATAAATCGGTTGGCGTTGTTTTACGCTCAGGATTTAAAATTGGAGAAATGACCGATTGTTCTTATGGCTTGATTTTAGAAGAACGTCTTCTCTCTCTCTATCTCTATCTCGCTCTCTCTCTCTCTACTTCCGGTTACTTTAACGAAGACTTTGACGTAGTTCAATTCGAAAAGGTATACGAGACTTTAGCTTGTGGTGCAATTTTTTTTTTCTTGACCAGCCACTCAGGCAATGTCTCATATAGGTGCAAGCACGTTACAGATAGAGAGGGACAAAAGAGGGAGTAGTGCTTGTTTACGTCTGACTTAAAAAAGGGACCATCACGCAGATTAAAAAAGGCCGCTATTGCTGGCAGATTGTTCCAGAGGCGGGCAGTGTGATTAAAGAACCACGAGCCGCGGTGGTGCGTCTTGCGATTAAGCAATCCTAACACGAGTGGGTGGGAGCACTGAAGAAGCCTTGTGGTTCTTGTACAGGACCTAGTTAGTGGAAAAATCTCTTTTATCTCTCTAGAACACTTGCCCTAGGTATACCTATATTTATGCACCACATAGACCACATTACACCAGTGCTCAAGGGTATCAAGGGTAGTGGGCACACTTTTGTCACACATTAGCACCTGAGCGTTGCGCTGTATACGATCAAGGGCCGACCTGTAAAATTTGCAGGCTCCCGTCAACACAAGCGAGTTGTGCTCTAATTTTGGCTGGATATCGACTGCAATGAAGAATTTATTGCGTCGCTTTAAGGAACCTAAGCGTCTTTCGACACCTCGAATATGTGTTCTGTCCAACGGGAGTCAGTTTGTTCTCCCACGCTCAGAATATCAAAGGATGCCGATACTTTTACATTGACATCACCAAAGGAGGAAGGTTATTCATCAGATCATCTATACGTTAAAAGTCGGCCGCATAATTTGGCGGCGTCAAAATTTACCCTATTAGTAGTTCAACCAATTCTCGTATTTTTTATTGTGCAGGGGTTATTGTGTACTTCGGTGGTGCTAGGTCGTTTGATGGAAACGAATGAGGGACAGTCAGAGATTAACGAATTGAAGATGAGTAACGTATAGATAACCAAATCAAATCATACACGATTTCATATAAATTTTTCTCAATCGTAAATGCTTTGTTTCGAAAAGGCTCATTGTGTTTTAAATAAGTTTGTGACAGTGAAAGGATTTTTCATTAATTTCAAAGGGTATAAAATAAAGAGATGAGATTACGGTTCGAACTGCTTCGATCAAATAGATTTAAATTAGTAAAGAAGAAAACAAGTAAACAAGTATAATTCAAGGAGCTTGGTTCGAACCATTTCGATCTATTTGACGCGAACATTCACCAGCAAACAACTATCTAGCAAGGAAGAAAAACTTTATTTTTCACGGGTAAGTCTCTACCACTCAAGTTGAAGAAGAATCAAAATTCACGCTAGACTCAGTTTTTTTCATCAAATAAAAGAAATCGTAAAAGTCGTAGGCGAGTGACTTGACTAGACGTACAAATAAGTCGCCGACGTTTATATTTTATATGGCACTACTTCGTGATTGAGCATTTCTCAAACAGTTCCTTCCTCCGTGTTAAGGCATTATTTTTTAAGCTTCAGCTTCGTTCAGTTGAAATGTATAAAACGTAGTTTCTCTTCGTGCTCATGATGATACCGGAAAAAAGTGCTCCTTCCGGGGATAACTTCAAAAGAGCAGAAGTCTGGCTAGCACGGAATTTATTACACTGTTAGAGACATGAGGAATGTATATGTATCTAGTGATGAACAATGCATTTTTTTTTTTTTTTGCTTGTGTTTGTATTTACGTTTCTCCTGAAACAAAACAGAATTTTCCTTTTTATATTCTTTAATTAATTTTTACGTCTAGTAGAGGTAATGCTTCCTTGTAGACTGCTTTTTTTATTAATGTATTTGTTTTTTTTTTTGGGTTTTAACCGTTTCTTTAAATATTTAAGAATGATATCTAAAAGGTTTTGTGTTTGGGTCGAACTTAAAAATAAAATTGATGTCGCTACTCAAGTGCAGTCAGTAAATGAAGTTGCCTATGAAAATCGTTAGCGTCCACCCGAGCGTCCGAAGGAAAAGAAATCTCAATAGTCATGGGTTCAAATCTCAAGGGCGGCAACGTTTTCAATAAAGACAGATAGGCTTAGCTAGTGCTTTAAGACTTAACTGTTGGAATTTATTTCTCTGGCTAAATTAATAATAATAATAGCAGTGAAAATTAAAAAGCGTTTTCCTGGTTTTAAGTTTAGGATTTTTTTGATTGCCTCGTTTTAGTAGATTTTATAGCCGCTTTTTGAAAGATTTTGTTAAATATTTGGAAAAAGTTTATTAAAATTTATTTAAAAAAATCTAAGCGTTTTTTTTTCAAACTAATATTTTCAAAAAAATTTGACCTGTTCCACTCGGTAAAGTTGAGATTTGAAACCAATTTGTTCGGAATTGAGACATGTTCACGGCAAAGATAATTTTCTAAAATAAATGTTTGCTTTGATAATTTGTTTCTAAAAACTTATGAAAAATTTGTTTAAGCATATCAATAAATGTGATTGTGATGTGCAGAAAATCTCGTAAATAAATGCATAGTTCTCTTCTCTCCAGGCAGCATTATCGCTTCAGGAGAATTTATACAGAGATGGGCTTAAGCGAAGTCGATCATTCGATTCATTAATTCAACTTGTTCCATTTTTGAGTCACAAACTTTTGCTATAAGATTTGGGAAATGGTAGGTCACCTCTCAGGCTGTGGCCAGTCAACCCGCTTCTTTCTGACAATTAGCGTGCTCTACGAATAAAGAATATCCCCTGAGTGATTGATCATAAAAAAAGTAAAGAAACGCTAAGAGCTCTAAAAACTCAGAGAGCGTTGTGTTTGGCCTTAAATAAGGATATCCAAGACAGACCATTGAAAAATTGACCTGCAACGACCAACAACAGCTAAAAACGACAAATTCGGCGACGTTTGTGTTCCTTTATTCAGAATCGCTTTTCCAATCGTTTTAAACTTTTGCTGATTGGTTTCACAGAACTCTCTTGCCCCTGGATCGAATACTGCTAGGAATGGTGCACATCGGACCGCCTTTTCGACAACTTCCCTTACAACGCCTTATTCCCCCAAGTCATTATGTATATAACTGTGGGGACATGTAGTGTATTTTACAGTGGATCTCAACCCATCATAGTCTTTTTAGTTGCTATAGTCTACACCACTTGCTGTAAAGGGTATATTAAGTATATCCGGGCGTATGTAACATGCAGCAGGGCTATATGTATAGACCCACGTTTTTTGGAATATATGCCTTTGCAGGAAAATAAAGTACCATTTTTCGTGTATTATTACGAAAACGAGTGGATAACTGTACTAGGCAAAGTGGTGTAAAATATCTAAGAGGCGGCCTCGCCCGACTATAATGTTCTTACTTGTTTTTAGTGTATTATTAGCAAAACGATCGAGTAATTGTGCTAAGCGCAATGGTATAGGGTATTTAATGGCAGGCCCCAGCCCGATAAAGTGTTATTCGCTTGTTCTTCGTTCAATTTGTTTTTCAGTGCTTGTCCGGATTTCCATCGTATTCTGGCGAAAATAAAACTTTTTGGATAGCACGAAACTCATTGATTTCACTCCAACTGTGCCAAAGTCCGCAAGGAATATAAGATTCTTTCGTCCTCATGCTCTAAGTTTCAAGAATGTTGCCGTGCCAACACATACACCATTGCTTAGTAACATCGCTCACAATAACTGTATTGATGAGAAAACTCTACCAACGATTGCTTTTGTAAGCATCCACAGCTAGCGAAAATGAACATCGTAAACTTAAGATTGTAAAAAATTTTTTTAAGATCAGGGTTAAAAATTAGGAGATTGTCTAGTTTGTTGCATCGCCTAACTTTTAAATTAATTCCCAATGCTGCCATCAATATTTAGAAACCTTCAACTTTAATATCATCAAGTGTGGTTATCTTCGGCGGTTTTCTTTAAGAAATGTTAACAATAGGAAAAACTAAAAACTATAGGTTAAATACATCCTTACATACAAGCATGTATTTCTGAATTTTTTGTTATCGTCATCTCGACAAGTAGAACTAACAACGCAAATTTTCTTTTAATATTCATTTAAAGCTTACGAAACCACATTAAAGTAGAAAAGTAAAATGTTTGCAAGTTTCTCTGCTTACTTTTGTCCACAAAGCTTTCTTTTAAAAATATATAAAATAAAAAAACCAAAAGTTAACAAAAAAAAATAAATAAAATAAAAAGGAAAAGAAGAACTGTGACCACAACAATAGTATTACGACTTACCGTAAACCGTCTGCACCATACCGAGAGCCATCTTATATCCTTAATCCTTTTGCCCATAGGCAGACGCAGTATGATGTCCGTATTATTGTGGGCCTTCAATATTGGTGGATCACTGTAACAGCAAACAATAGATTAAAATGGAAAGAATACAAAAGAAAATAATAAGAAGAAATAAATAAATTTCTTGGAAACTTTTTGAAAAGCAAACATAATTAGAAAAAATCTGTTTTCTTTTTTTATTTTCTTTACTTTCTTTACTTTCTTTTTTCCTATGTTTATTGTGTTTAATACTCTGCTGATGAAAGTTTATGAAAATTATTAAGAAATATTTATGATGATTAAACACAGAAGAGTACAGAAAAATTTGCTGAAAACACAGCATTACAGTCATGCCCCGAGTACTAGTATTAGCAGTATCGGTTGCAGTCATACATTTAAAAAGAAAAAAAAACCAAGAAGGAAACTTACTTTTGACCTAGAAAAAATTGCGAATAGCCTTTGTTTGGACTTTCAATCATTCTAAAGTAATTTCTCTTGCAGTTTTCCTAGTAGCAGTAGTTTCACTAATTTGTATTAAAACTTGTGGAGAAGGAAGCTGTTTTCCAAATGAATGCCGCGTTTACTCAAAGTGAATCGTTGATGCAGATATCAACCATCAGCTCGATGGCTACGGTGGGAAAATTTGTTCGAATTGAAATTCGAATCGCTGCCATTAGCGGAACTGAGATCAACGGAGAAAAGACATTTTCAGGGCTCGTTAACTACAGTGGCAAAATTGCTTGAATTAAATCGAATCACTGCCCTCTCTTCCCTTAATGTACTCATTCCTAGCACCTATTATATGCCAAGTAATATCCAAAGGATGCTCCAAGGAAAAGGATTTAGACAAAATCGAATCATCTCTCGCCCTATTATATTCACGCAATCTAGTGCCTGAATCCTATTATATGGCAGGAAATCTAAAAAGGATGCAGCATGGAAAAACTATGATTTACTTGCAAAAAGTAAAGTTTAAGGGTTCAACAAAATCGCTCTATAAAGAAGGCATAGAAAATTTAGAGAAACATCGGACTAGATTTGCTACTCATAAAGAAGATTATGTGAATAAATAAAGTCGAACTTTGCAAAAATAAAAAAAAATGCTTCCCTGATGCTGATTACTTAGTCGCGGTACTAGTTAACTTTTGTGTTCGTAACGTACCCAGACTAGGCGAAGAACGCCAACTGCAAGCCTATCAAATCTAAAGATCTAGAATATGGAACAAATATTTCCTTAGTGAACGAAAATTCTTTTAGGGGGAATTCTTACTTGCTTACCTTTCTACTTTTTCTACAGTTGTTGTATAATCTGGAAGAAGTAGAAAAATAGGCCAATGTTGAGCTAAACTACAAAAGACGCTTTGTTAATGGCACCCGATACATGTAGTTCTTGGGAGAAAAACTTTATATCTAAAGTAAGTAAGTTATGTTTAGAGCTCGTCTAGTAGGCTTATCACTTTGCTTTCAAGCCGCTTCGACAAGTTTGAAATTAAAAAATAGTATTTCGTAGCAGTGAGGTAAAGGCATAGCAAATCAATTATATGTACATTCTTTGAAAACCTGCCGGAAATGATGCGATTATTTGTCAGCTTGTCTGGGGTTTTATTTAAATAGGCCAAACCCACGACGTAATGAAAAATCTACTGAAAACACTGACGTAAGATAGCTTCTTAAACCTAATTAAAGAACAAATCTTTGTAAAAACAACTCTTTTCGTATAACTGATTACCTATGGTTTCTGCTACCATATGATTAAATCAACACTAATAACTGACTCTACCAACATTTCGTGTATAGAGACAACGCTACTTAAACTTGAGCGACTGTTACGCGTGCTAAACAAATTTCATATCATAGAAGATACGTATCGCTTCACAATACATTTTGGTTTAGATAAAGATTTCATTAGATTTTTTTAAGCTTCGCAATAATACCCGTAAAGCTTATTGTATTCGTTTCTTTTTAAGCAAACTGGTGGGGAGTAATAATGGTTCAACATAAATACCTGACTATTTGCTTTTCTGTCAAAAAAAGAAAATAATTGAAGAGAAATCGTTAATAATAATAATGAGAAAATATTCATTGAAGTTTACACACATACTTAAGCAAGTGATGATGAGGGTGGATGATTTCTGTTAGTAAATAAATTTTTTTTTTTTTTTTGTGATTTAAGGTATCAGACGTATAGCCTGTGTACTCTTGAGATTTGATTTAATAGATGGTTAGGTAAGAAAAAAAAAGAATAGGGAGAAATTGAATAATACATACAACTGTCATAATAAACCATTAAATTAAGGAGAAATTATAATAAGTTCTTGGTGGTCTGCTTGGGCTGTAAATGTGGGCGGGTCCACGAATTTTCAGAAAGATTTTCAAGGCAACAAAAACCCTTACAGTTCTTTATCGCCTTATTATTTTTCGGGAGATTATTGTGCTTGTCTTGAAGTGAACTTGGATAAGTAATTTGGACGCCATATCGACTTCGTTGGCTTGGTTTTGTCATCTTTTTTTTTTATTATTAAAGAACTTTATTTTTCCATAATTTTTTTAAAGGCAGCACAGCACGCCTACTTTGTCACATACAAAAGCACAACTGGACGAAATTAAAAATGTCCTTCAAGATGATAAATTAGATACCATATGTGCTATGTTTACACCTCATTATACTTGACTTGTTCTCCTGCTTCGTAGAATGAAGAAGTCTGTAAATAATGCAAAGCGTTCGAAACACTGAGGCTGTGGAGATTGAAAAGCTACGGTAAATAAGGAATATGGCTGTTAATCAAACATAACAAACCCATACACAGCCGTTAAAAAGATCACGACGAGAAAAGGACTTCTTAGCAAAGTCGTTGCAGTAATCAAACGCAAGTGTCGCCTAGAAACTGTCTGTCGACAGTAAAAATTTCAGATCCTTATAGATAACGAAAGCTTTTTTAAGCGCTCTCTTGACCATGCACGTAATGCGAACTGTGCTTTACTTACAAAATAAACCTATCTGCCAATCAGGTCCAGTAACACACGGCTTTCTCAACAACGTTCTATTAAAATTGTACTACACATCGCAGAGGCAGTTTGTTTTTAGACTGCGCCGATCATCTCTGCAAACAGTTACCTAAAGTTACCTCACACACACACATTCTATGTATAAAAGACTTTCAGTCATTAACGAACTTGCAAGGGTGGGAAAGATCCGTAGGTCATTGAAAACAAAAAAAAAACAAAAAGTGAAACGGTTTTGATCACACGCAACGACTCGTGGCATTGGTTCTAATCATACTGCATAAGCATTCGGAGTATCTTAGCATTGCAACTGGAATCGTTGACAAACAAGGTGATACCTCTTGGCTTAAAATATTTCTTAAGGTTAATTGCCGCAGGCGTCGTCACTAAAAAACAAAACTCGATCCTTTACGAGATCATAAGGACAAGCAATGATTTTTCTTGATTCAAAAATCAACCACAACCTAAGCCATTAGTCTGTCGACATGTTATTAGCTGAAAGAGCTTATTTCGCAATACTAAGAATTTCGGGGAGAATCGATCAGTTTTTCTAAAATTATTTAACCTAAATGTGGTGCAGCTTGCTGTTAACATATTTGTTTAGTGGCTTACTCCGTCAAAAATCTAAAATTCGGTTCATATTTGAACGATAAACAACGATGAATGTGCCTTCGCCAACTTGCCAGCGAGCAAGGCGTCAGCAATCTCTGCCACAAATTATTTGTACTTTTGCTTACATGAAAAATAAGTTATGGTAAACGTAACTGCATTGCCTTCAGGATTTTAGTGACATAAGTCTCTTCATATTACCTTTTGTAGCAAATCGAAGCAAATACCTTACTAATAATGATTACCAGAATTAGAACAGAATAACTTGAACCTATAAAAACAACATTAAAAGAATTGATCATCATCGCGTCATCGCGTCATCGCGTCTATTGATGTTTTCACGCAAATTCAATATAAGAAAGTATTAAAAAGATATAGGAAGAGAAGTTAATTTTTCCGTTATTAAAAATAAAAAAATCAAAAGAAAAAGAACAAGAAGAAGAAAAAACGGAAAATCTTCTCACTTTTATTTCTTGATATCATCTATGATGAGATGACCTTGTCAGCTTTTTGTGATTTGTTTATATAACGTGCTAACTTGTACTAGCGCAAGCTTTCATATATTTACAAAAATAAAAGTACATAAGAGTTCATCATCACACAAACAATGCTTTATTATGTTTGCTAACTAAATTGCCTTAAGATTTATCGTTCGTTTCGTTTGTCACTATTTCGATATTGATTTCTTCGTTATTTTTTTCTTTTTGTTTTGTTGTTGATTTTTTCTAACAAACAAACAAACAAACAAAAAAAAACACACACATACACACACATGCATGCATGCATTTTTATTTTCGTATAACCTTAATTTTGGATAAAATAAATGCGATAAAGAAATTCATTTTCTTTTTCTCTCTATATTCCCGCTGTTTTCCTTCGCACCACATTACTTACATATGTGATGAGCGTACAAAGGAAGCCAATTATTCCTAATATATATTTTCAAATGAAAATATTTTTCTCTCACATTTCTCGTGTTATTGAAAATTGTGTTGATTTGAAAATGAATTGAAGAGAGGATATGTACGATGAAAAATCATATTTATTGCGAAAGTGTTCTAAAAATCACTGACCCTACCCGTAAACAAACGATAATCAGCCTGCAATTTTAACGTATATGTATGTTAATGTGTTGCTAAGCGTTAATCGCCCGAAAAAGTATGCATGGAACGAGTGCTGGTTTTTAGACCCATGCACTTTACCTTTTTCATTTACTGGAAGCTTTTTAAATCCTCGTTTTTAATGAAATTTCTTAAACTTGTGTGCGTTACTTCTACGATAATTCTAAGAAAGCGAAAAATGGTAATAGCAAGAGCAACATCGTGACTGTGTGTGTTACCTCCCGAAAAGATTTCATATTTTAGTTTAGATCATTTCATTTTTCAGATTCGTTTGCACTGAGAATAAGAAATTTTATGATCCAATGCACTCACCATTGATTCAATAAAGCTTTTCCATTCT